GGCAGATGATAAACACACCTCCACTCTCGTATAAACACACCCCCTTTTTAAAAAAAAGTATATAAAATGTCTAAATTACCCTTAAAAAATGAAATTCCTAAATTTACACTCCCTTTCCTGCACTCCCGAAATAATAATATTTTTTATTTTTTTAGCGACCGATTTTAATGTAGTTGTTAAAATTAATATAAATAATAATATTTTTATTTTTTTAGCAACAGATTTTAATTTGGTCGCTAAAGTTTTTATAAATAATAATACTTTTTATTTTTTTTAGCGACCGAAACTGTTCCGTCACTATTTTAACCAACAATTATTATTTTAGTGACCGATTATTGGCCACTAAAAATTTGGTCGCTTTCGGTCGGTAAATAAAATTTGCAACCAAACCAGATTCGGTCACTAATTATGTCGCTATTAGCGACAGAAAAAAAAATCAGTTGCTAATTTCGGTGGCTAAATTGACTTTTTTTTGTAGTGTTCTTCGCAATTTGTGATGGATTTTATTCATCACAATTTGTGATGGACACACATCCCTCTCAACTTGTGACGTTAATAAGAGGCACATATCCCTCACAAATTTGTGACGGGGTTAATCCCTCACAAATTATTTATTAGTGACGTAAACAAGTCCCTCACAAATTGCAATGAACATAGAGGTCATCACAAATTGCGACGAAATTTTATTAATTTATGAATATTTATTATTAGAAATTAGTGATGAAAAATATATTATTTGTGATGCCTTAATTCCGTCATTGATTGTGACGAACTGAAATTATCCCTCACTAAATATTTTGTGACACCAATTTTTGTGACAAAATCAGTTCTGTCACTAATTTGTTCTATGACGGATTTTATAAAATTTAGTGACAGATTCGTTCTCTCTCTAATTTTAATTTTTCTACTAGTGATAAATCATTGATAACCACATCATTATTTTGTAACATATAAAAACAAGTTTTGTTACCATTATTAGTAGCCTTAATATTAGTTTTGAAATAATGCAATTTTCCCACCTTTTAGATTTGAAGATATTTTTGCAGATTTCTTCTCCTTCTTGGAAATCATCCATGGCTAATAACAACCATCTGGATTTGAACCTAATTTATCTAGTTGTTATGTCTTTTCCACTTGAACCTCAAATTTAGGATTTACTTTGCCTAGTTTGTCACTCGCCAAACCTCTATTTACTTTCATAGAAGTGTCTACACGAGTGTCCTGATATTTTGGTTGCTAGTCACCCACCATTGGATCAGTACAACTATCCTGTTTGTGACCATATTTTCCACATTTGAAGCAAATCGTATGAAGACCCTTATACTCTAATTTTAGAATATGCCCAAGAGCATTAATTTGAGAGACCAACATTCTTCCAAAAACAATTTTTACACATATCCTGACAAACCTTCCATGATATTGAATAGAAGTAAGTTTATCAATCTTAAGCATAGTCCCTAATCTACTCCCAACCCTGTAGAGGAACCTTGTTTTGAACAATTCGATAGAAAGTCCAAGGATCCACACCCCTGCTACAATTTTAGGAGTGTGGGTTGTAATAATGGTGAAGGAAGGCCTCCAACTCTGAACCATTGTTAAGGGATTTCTTAAATATGGCAAGTGAACCAATCACACAAGTAGTAAGTAGAATTATTTATCGTTCTTCCCAAAGGACTTGTGCAATACAATGGCAATAAATATAAATTTAACTAACAATGACTAAAGAACGATTCCATATTTGAAGGATTGTATTTATAAGCTAGTAAATGCAAAGTGAACTAAAGTGAACCTTCATCCAACACTTGGAGTGACGTTTTAGAAACCAACTTATATAAGTGATATGTTAGGGTTAGACTTTACCAACTTTAATCTCATGCATAAAACACCTTATTTCACGTTCAAATATTAATGTTGACCCACTAATTTACTCAAATCCCAATTTCCTTGGTTATAAGAGCCTAAGTTTCATTACCAAACATCAATGTTCTATTCCTAGATACAAGTTTTACTAGGTATCATATTCCAAGACAAGATTACAAATGATATTTCCCAATATCAAAATAATCACAAATCATGTAATGGTTGATCACTCCATACAAAAATTAAGCATAGAAACATGATACTAACATTTGAATGAAAAAGACATATATATATATATATATATTGAAACAAGTTACATGAGAGTCAAGTTGGCTACATCTAACCCCAACAAAAGGGTTTTAGTAACTCCTTTTCATAAGAAGATTAGCAAAATACATCGTATAAGTGAAAATGGAAGAAAACCAACGAAAAGCAATGGTGGAAAGGTGAACCCTAGCCCCCCAGTTTCAAACCTAAGCTCCCTTCTATTTTTCCAAATGTCTCTGTTAATGATGTTTCACATTCAGTAAGGAAAAATATGAATCCACACAACTCCTTAAGTGATGCACTCAATGCGCGGTGATACACACTCGACGCGAGCTAGGAGGCGCGTCGGGCGCATGATGAAACGTGCCTAGCACACGACCAATTGTTCAACATCTCAGCTTGATCCAATGCGCTAAGAGAGCTAGGATATACGCTCAGTGCGAGTCTTCTAAAATTGCCATCTTGCTTCACTAAAGTCCAATCCAACTTCTTCTCCTTGGCATGGCTTCTTCCAACACGATCCCTTATCCAAAATTTCACAAAAAATGGGGATTGAGTATGTATAATCTAATATGTGTAACCAAAGTGTCTTTACTTACAAAAAATGGTTTAATTGAAGATTACACAAGTCTAAAGTTAAGAAAGAGTTGAATTTGTTAATAAATTTGGTACTAAAATGTAAGTAAAAATTAACATTATCAACTACCACAAACTTAGAACTATGCTTGTCCTCAAGCAAAAGGTAACTTGTTAGCAATAAAAAGAATCACTTCATCAACAAAGACAAAATACTTGAGAATCTGGTACAATTCACTCAAACATCAGTCATGCAAGCTCTCTCTCAAACTTAATCTCTAGAGAGTAATGAACTTTCCTGCCAAACATCCACTATGGTGCTCACAATGCAAGAATAGTAGGGATGCACTTAATCGTTTTACAAGAGACTAACAACCATGGCCAGATAGATGCATTGATCAGCCTAAGAATTCAAACCTCACTAGGATAAGTGTTTCACTCAAGCACATTAGTATCTAGGGAAGGTGTTTGTCCCTCAACCATCTCTGATTCCACCCAATTTAACTGTGCTTTTCATTTCAACAAGCTCAATAAACTATACTAGCATGCATACATCACAAGGACTTTTTCAGGGTTGTAATGGGGCCTGGCTAAGAAGAAAATTCTGGTTTTTCATGGATAGACAAATGTATTGGGCAAGGAGAGCAAATGAGTAATCATTAATTCCCAAACTTCACTCTCTTACTTTCCAACTAATGTTTTGATCCAGTAACACACGACTCTAATGTTTCCTTTTTCCTTTTATTTATTTTCATTTGATTCAGTTTTTTTTGAATAACTTTTCAATTTTTTTTTTCATGGCCAAAGAATGAATCAAAGCCTTCTCCTTTTATTATATGCTCACCCCAAAAGTGAATTGCCCCAAACTTGAACCACACAATAATGACCTTACCACTTGCTCTCAAGCTCAAAGTGGGGTGTTCAATTGATTTCATCATAAAGCTTAGGGTTCTAAGAAAGAAAGAATCATGTTAAGCTTAAAAAGGTTTTCAACGGTTAATATTTTCAAAAAAAAAAAGTTGGCTTTTTGGCTCAAACGACCTAGAACTAAAAAGAAACATGGCCTTGATCATCTATACACATGCAAGCAAAGCTCTCAACACAGAAACTCAAGCAAAGTCAATTGAGTATCAAAAGAATAGTTCTCACAAGAATAAACTCTAAAGCTCTTAACCTCACTCAATTTAATTTATGTAATTCACACGTTATCCTACCTTTCCACAATCCTTAATCAAAATTAAAACAAGCACTTGCAACCATACCCTCCAAAGCATGAGCACAACCACAATTATCAGTTCAATAGAGATATGTCATCAACTCAAAAGATGTCAGGTTTTGAAAGAACAGAACACAACAGACTCATGATGAAATGCAACACCAATCTCAAGTAAATTGTCGATGTATCCAAAGTAACTATAATATAGGAGAAAGTACGGTGCATAAAAGAAGGTAAAGTGTAATGGTAATAGTAAAAAAATAAGTAAAAACAGAAAAGTAAACAAGATATCCAAAAAAAAAACATAAGTGTTGCAGCAAAATGTGACTACTCATCTCCTTAAGTGCTGATATCATCAGTTGAACTCCAACTTAGAGGATCCCATGGCCTCATCATCAATCATAGCATCAACAGTAGCAATGTCAACAGCGATGGGTATCTCTTCATCAACTCTAACAGATGCTCCTAAGGACCTAAACATATCTAAGGACTCTACTTTGATGGTCTCCTCAAACCTTTGAAGCATTGGATCCACAATATCAGCAGAAATAGTCTCTGGCAACCTCTCTCTTAGCCTTCGCATCAGGCTGCACCTCTAGTCTTATACTAGCATCTGGTCCTATATCAGTTGCTTTATCTCCATCAGTTGTTGTTAGCTCTCCTCCTGCCCCTCTAGAAATAGCCTGGACCCCAAGTCAAGTAGTAGCAACATCAAACTTTGCCATAGAATAGAGAAACTGAAGATGAGGAGTAGTGGCAGCAACATGGGCCCTAATAGTGTCCATCATCATTCATTGTGCATGAAAAATCATCTGAATGGTTGTATCAAAAACAACAGGGCTAATTGCTACCACTTGTTGTAATGGGGCCTCAGGAACATAATGCTCAAGAGGGGGTAGCTCTGGTGCCTCGACCTATGGTGCAGTAGTTGGTGCCTGTGGTGCTCCCCTTTCATAGGCAAGAGGGGTCAACTAACAATGAGCGATAACATATCGGGCATCTATAGACTAGCACGGTCACTCAAATGGCCCATAGATGTGTCAACTCCAACTCTCTTGCATAGATGGGTGATCAGCGAAGGGTGCCCTAGCTTGGCATTACCAATCATAGAATCAGCACAACTCTGAATCTCCTCCACGATGAGAGCTCCCAAATTTATTCTCTTCCCTGAGAGGATGTTGAACAGGATATAGGACCTGTTAAGGTGAATGTTAGAAGCATGATCAACTAGGGCCAGGTTGGAATGAATAAGAGTCATCCATATCTTGGCCACTAGCAAGAGGTTTGTCCTCTTAATGTGCAAAGGTAGACCCTGAACACTCCTATGAAATCTGCCTCTCTCTCTGCACACGGTCTCCTCAATCTGTGTGTGCCTAATATCAGAGGGCATCAAAGTAGTCAAGAACTCTAAGTACTCACAGTGTTGTCCAAGCTCTAAAGTAGTGAGAAGAAAATCGTTGATCCTGGTAGGAGAAAAGGAAACAGAATGACCCCTCACATAGCTGGTGTAGCTGATTGGGGCATCATCATCAATGGTCACGGCGTTCGCATAGAACTCACGAATGATAGCAATATTGGCTAGTTATGGATAAGAACCCAACCTGTCCCACCTCCTCTTGGTGTACTCAATCACAAAGTCCTGGCCATCCTCTGATTTGAGGGACACCTTCCTCTCCATCAATAATTTCCTTGGCTCCATGGAAGGGAATTACTTTTCATGATGCTTTCTGAGAAAGCGATCAGAATAAACCTTCTCCTTTCTCTTTACAGGCTTGTTATTTTGGCCTTCAGTGGGGTTCCTTTGCCTCTTGGTTGCCATCCTGAAATTCAAGGCCAAAAAACATAACCAAGCCATCAAAATCAGAGAAGTGAGTCATCAAAAATATGTAGAAGTATCATCATATATACAACACAAAAATGGAGCACAAAATATGCAAAAAGAATCCCCAAAACATATAAGAAGACAGTTCAAAATGGACGGATTCACGTTGAGCACAACACAAGGTGCGTTGGGCGCACAGAGGCAGAATTCCTCTCTGCCATGCACGTGTCGGGCGCAAGCTTAGGTGCGTCGGGCGCTTAACATAAATTGCGCCTTCTAGAAGCCACGCATAAGGCATAGGTGCGAGCGCGCAAAGCGCGTGTTAGAGCCTATGCATCTATGATCAGGGCGCTTGGCGCACCATGAAGCACGCTGGGCGCATAAAAAAATTCAACTAGTGCATGCAGGCGCTAGGTGCCCATAATAGCGCGCAAGGCACGTTCAGATAAAAATAAATAAATAAAACATAATATAAAAGGCGTTTAGCATGCTAGGGAGCGCGTTGGGCGCGTTGCAACCCTCCCAATGAAGAAGATGAAGGTGTGTTGGGTGCGGACTCATCTCACCCGGCGCGTTGTGAACTTTTAAGCCCAAAAATTGGTCAAAGCACATACACGAAGAAGAAAACTTAGTGAGGGACAGAAATCACTTGCTCCACGCGGCTAACACTAAAGTAACAATAAACAAGATAAAAGTAAAAAGAAAGACAGAGAAAAAAAACACAAAATGAAAGAGGGAACGGTTGAAGAGAGTTACTTGGTTGGTCAAAGCAAATGCAAGATAATGAGGATGCGAGAAATAGTGAAAGAGTGAGGCGTGCTTGGCATGGAAGACTACGCGTTGGGCACGGTCTTCGTAGAGAATTAGGGAGAAATGCTTGACCAAATGCGTTGGGCGCATAGATTCTCATGCCCAGCGCGCTTGGTATAGAGACATCTCATCTTTTCGTGCTAAGTGTATTCTGTTGCGCGCTTGGCGTATTTTTCAGTGAAGGCTTATTGGAATAAATACGCTTGGTGCATCGTGATGCGCCTGGCGTGAGGTAAACAATGAGTTCTAATGGCAAACACGTCGGGAGCGAGCTTCTACGTGCTAGGCGCGCATGTTAGTTCAGCCAAATTTTTTCTATATCCCAAAATTGAGTTTTTCACCCCTTTCTTCTTGAAATAGACTTAATCTTACTCTCACAACCACCCATAGATAATGGATATGAGGTGCATCTCTCATGTTTCTCACTCTAAACCAACAACTAACATAATTACAACACAAAACACCAGTTCAAACACGTGCAAAAACAATAACAAACAGGCAAACAACTAAAATATAACTTAAACACATAAAATTTTAGATCATCTGGATTGCCTTTCAGGAAGAACTTGTTTAACGTCACTAGCTTGACGACCTTTTTGAACCACTATGGGTCTCTAAGCTCAAGCTCAACAATTAGCCTTTCAAAATCTCCACCAAGATAAGGCTTCAATCGTTGTCCATTAACCATCCAACTTCTTTTGGAAATAGGATCTTCAATTTCAACTACTCCATAAGGCTTAACCTCCTTGATAACAAAGGGTCCAAACCATTTAGATCTAAGCTTTCCAGGGAACAATTTCAACCTGGAGTTAAATAAAAGTACAGATTGGCCTGGTTGGAAATCCCTCTTTAAAATTTTCTTATCATGATAAACCTTAACTCGTTCTTTTTACTGCCTTGAGGACTGATAAGCATTAAGTCTCATTTCCTCTAATTCATGAAGTTGCAACTTCCTCTTCTCCCCACAAGCCTTCGGGTCAAAATTTAGCAGTTTCAATGCCCAAAAGGCTTTGTGTTCCAGCTCTATCAAAAGGTGACATGCTTTACTGTAGATCAACTGGAATGGTGAGAAAGATGTAGGGATCTTGAAGGTTGTCCTATAGGCCTATACAGCCTCATCAAGTTTGCTAGCGCAATCTTTTCTGGAAGCAGCAACTGTCTTCTCTAAAATCCTCTTGATTTCTCTATTAGATACTTTTGATTGCCCATTGGTCTAAGGATGGTAAGTTGTTGCCACTTTATGCTTCACTCCATAGTGTTCTAAGACCTTCTTGAGCTGAGAATTGTAGAAATGAGAGCCTTCATCATTGATTAGGCCTCTAGGAGTACCAAACCTGCAGAAAATATTCTTCTTAAGAAATTCGATCACTGTCTTAGCATCATTTTTTAGGCTGGGATCGCTTCTACCCATCTAGACACATATTCCACTGCCAAGAGGATGTACGCATTGGAAAACGAAGATGGTAATGGGCCTATAAAGTCAACCCCCAGCAATCAAAAGCTTCCACCTCTTGAATGTTCTACAATGGCATTTCATGCCTCTTGGAGATATTTTCGGTTCTTTGGAAGCTATCAAACCTATGCACATATCCATGAACATCTTTGAATAATGTTGGCCAAAAGAACCCAGATTAGAGAACCTTGGCGATTGTCCTCTCCCCATTAAAATGACCTCCATAAGGTGAGTTGTGGCAATGCCATAGAATGTTGTTGGGCTTCTCTTTTCTGACACACCTTCTCAACAAATTGTCAACTCCAATCTTGAACAAATGAGCATCATCCCACACATATATGATTTGGCATCTTTAAAGAGTTTTTCTTTGGTGCCAATTTAGATCTTTAGGGATAACTCCAACAGCTTTAAAATTAGTCATGTCTGCAAACCATGGCCTTTCTTAAATTGATAGGAGTTTCTCATCTGAAAATTATTCTAGCACCTCTAGTTCTAGTGTAGTCACCTCATTGTTCACCAGTCGGGATAGATGGTCTGCCACAATGTTTTCAAAGCCTTTCTTGTCCTTGATTTCTAAATCAATCTCCTACAACAAAAGTATCCACCTTATTAATCTAGGTTTGGAGTCAGATTTAGTCAACAAATATTTAATTGTAGCATGATTAATGAAAACAATAACTTCCAAACCAATTAAATATGCTTTGAATTTTTCCAATGCATACACTATGGCAAGAAGTTCTTTTTTAGTAATGACATAATTGGTTTGCGTTTCAATCAAAACCTTACTTGCATAGTGTATCACATGGAAAACTTTCTCTTTTCTTTGACCTAGCACTGCTCCTATAGCATAATCATTGGCATCACACATAAGTTCAAAACCAAACTACCAGTTAGGAGTAGTGATCACAGGTGCAGAAATAAGTTTCTCTTTCAAAGTCTCAAAAGCAGATAAACAATTTGCATCAAATTTAAATGGGGTATCCTTATTAAGCAAGTTGCTCAATGGTTTTGCAATTTTAGAGAAATCCTTGATGAATCTCTGATAGAAACCGGTATATCCTAAGAAGCTTATGATTCCTTTGATGTTGACCAGTGGGGGTAGCTTCTCAATGACTTCAATTTTAGCCTTATCAACCTCAATCCCCTTGTAAGAAATCTTGTGGCCAAGGACAATGCCTTCAATCACCATAAAGTGACATTTCTCCCAATTGAGCACCAAATTAGTTTTTACACACCGCTTCAGTATGGTGTCCAAATTGTCGAAGCAGGAATCAAAAGAAGACCCAAAAATTGAGAAATCATCCATGAAGACTTCAATGCATTTGTCCACCAAATCAGACAAGATAGAAAGCATGCACCGTTGGAGAGTAGCTGGTGCATTACACAACTCGAATGGCATCTTCCTGTAAGCAAAAACACCAACAGGACAGGTGAAGGAAGTTTTCTCCTGATCTTCTGGATCCACCAAATTTGATTATAAACTGAGTAGCCATCTAGGAAATAGCAGTATGCTTGCCCTGCTAATCGTTCCAACATTTGGTCCATGAAGGGCAAGGGAAAGTGATCTTTTCTCGTGGCTTTATTAAATTTTCAATAATCAATACTAGGCATGGCAATCTAACCCGCCCTCGTGGGTACCCGCTCGAACCCACCCCGATTTGGACGGGGAAAACTCGTGTTTACCGGGTTCGGGTTTGGCTTTTCCCCGATTGATAAAATCGGGAGTTGGGATGTTAATACCCGTCCCGCCCCGCCCCGCCCCGCCTCGCTTAATAATATAATTAAAATATTATTTATATATATAAACCAAAATTAGAAATATTTATATGTAAAAAATTGTATTATCTTACTTTTCTTTTATTTTTTTTTAATTTTTCATATTTATTATAAATATAAAAAAAAAGGTTCAGGAGCGGGGGCGGGGGCGGGGTGGGAAACCCGAATCTCGCCGGGGACGGGAATAAGTACCTAGATTTTACTCCCAGCAGGTATTGGGGGCGGGGGTGGTTTAAATTTGTGGGGGCGGGGGCGAGGAACATAAAACCCGCCCCCGCCCCGCCCTGTTGTCATGCCTAACCGATACACATCCTTCAACCTGTGACAATTCTTGTGAGAATCAGTTCATTCTTTTCATTATGGATTATAGTTATTCCACCCTTCTTAAGAACTACTTGCACAGGACTGACCCAAGCACTGTCTAAGATAGGATAAATCATCCCTGCCTCCAACAACTTTTAAACCTCCTTCTTCACAACTTCTTTCATGGTTGGATTCAAACGCCTCTAAGGTTAAGTCATAGGCCTATAGTCCAGCTCCATGTGAATTTTGTGAATGCAATAAGAGGGACTAATGCCTTTCAAATCAGATAGGGTCTGCCCTATGGCCTCTTGGCTCAAACACAACACCTCAATTAACCTCTTCTCCTCATTATTAGAAAGAGAGTTACTAATGATGACTAGTTTGTTGTTACCTTCTTTGAGAAAGACATATTTGATATGTGAAGGTAAAACTTTCAATTCTAACTTTTGCTCTTCAGAACTCAAGCTTTCATGTAATTCTTCAATTTTTACATTGCTTATAAGAACTTCTTATTTTAAATCCAAGTTCTTCAAGCAAGCCTCAATCTTTTTCTCCTCTTCATTATTCAAACACTCAAAAGCTTCAATGAAGACTTTCTCTAAAGGGATCAGACTTTGTATTTGACTTGAGGCAGAAAAAATCACATCATCAAGCATATCCAACCTCATACAGTCATTTTTATCATTGGGGTATTGCATGGCTTCAAAAACATTGAAGTTCACTTCCTCATCTTGAACTCTCACTTTTAATTTTCTGTCATCCACATTAAGAATAAGCTTGGCAGTTTTCATGAAAGCCCTACCAAGTATCAAGGAAAGCTCCATGTCCATCACAACAAAATCCACCGGGAACATGAACTTGTCCACCTTGACCAGGACATCCTCAACCACCCCATGAGGATACTTAATTGATCTATTAGCTAGTTGTAATGTCATCCAAGTAGGTCTAGCCTCCAAACCTCCTATCCTCCTCATCATAGACAAGGGCATCAAGTTAATGCTAGCCCCTAAATCCAACAAAGCCTTACCCATAGGTAGAGCACCTATGATCATAGGAATCATGAAACTGCCTGGATCCTTAGATTTTTTTAGGTAGGGACTTCTAAATGATTGCACTACAACCAACCTCCAACTCAATAGTTTCTTCCTCAATAAATCTTCTTTTCTTTGACAGCAACTCCTTTATAAATTTAGCATAAGTTAGCATTTTCTCTAAGGCTTCTGAAAATGGAATATTAATTTGCAACCTTTTAAAAATGTCTAGAAACCTTGCAAATTGCCTCTCTTTGTCTTTTATTGAAGGGACATGTGGATATGGAAGATTCTTTGTAGGTGTGGCTTTCTCAACCTCCTTCTTTTTCTCTCTTTTCTTTTTCTCTACTTCCTCGCTCACTCTTTTATTCTCCACCTCTTCCACTACACTCTCATCATTTTTTCCTCTTTATTTTCTCTCATTGCACTTTCTTACCTATCCTTATGATTTTTCTCTTCAACCTTCCTTCCCTCCAAACTCCTTCCCACTTCTTGTAGATACAACTAGGGGTGTGCAAAAAATCCAAATTGATCCGAACCGATCCGATCCATATTGAAAAATCCGATCCATTTGAAAAAAAATCTGAACCGAACCACTTTATAAAACCGGTTCAGTTATCCGATCCATTTTTACAAAGTGGATCGGTTCGGTTCGGTTTTGTTTTTTAAAAAAAACGATCCATATATGAGTAAAAAGTGGATAACTGCACCGCACCGCACCGAACCGATCCAATTTAAAAAAAACCGATCCATATTTTAAGAAAACCAAACCGATCCACTTTATAAAAAATGGATCGGTTAACCGATCCACTTTTATAAAACGGTTCGGTTCGGTTTGGATCGGTTTTTTGAAAAAACCGATCCATGAACACCCCTAGATACAACCTTACAATGCTCCTTAGGATTTGTTTGTGTATTAGCAAAGAATGATCCACTTTGTTGGTCTGCCAATTGTTTAGCCAATTATCCCACTTGCACCTCCAAATTCTTAATTGAAGCATCTGTGTTCTTTTGATTTTGGAGAGACAGATGCATGAATTGCTGCAAGGTATCCTCTAGCTTAGTATTTCTTTCATACAATGGTGGGTGTTTTTGTTGTTGTTGAAGGTGGGGTCTCCTACTAGATGCATGATCGGTGTCGTACCCGATCAAATGAAATATAGTTTTTGTAGTACTAGGAAGTGACTCCTAGGTAATCTCTCAAGGAGCAACAAGCCAATTAGAGGTTCTTATAGTACAACCAAACACTCAAATGGGGGTTTCAGATTCGAATAAAATGCATGCACAGTAAGCAATGGAACAATATACTCTCTAACTCAGTTACAACACCTATATCATTGGTTATCAAATTATCATTTATTGATTTAAACCTTGGTTCAGTTTCTAGTAATCATTAAGCGTTATTACCATTGTCGAACGCATACAAATGAAGCATTAGCATACATTCCTATCTCTATTCACGGGATTAAGCAAACCATGAGCAGAGCCATTCAGTCCAGTTGAAAAAGAAATCATTAAGCATGGAGACAAATCGTAATAGGTTAACAAGGATTAGAACACAAAGACACATTAAAATGAATAAACCTCAATGGTGCATTAAATTGAGTTCGAGAGTAATACATTCAGCCTTCCATGGAGGAAGAAATAGAAGAAGAAAACAGAAGAAAGAGAGGAGGCAACAACACAATGAAAAAATACAAACAGAAGAGAGGGAAACAAAGATACAAAAATGGTCTAGGTCAAAACTCATCCAAGACCCCCTAAAGGAGAGTAGTGGTTGTCCCCACTAATGTCAAATCCCCCTAACCTAAAACCCTCTTTGTCCCCCTCCGAATTTGAATGCATTCGAGTCAAAAGAGTGGGCTGACCCAGTTGGCCCACACAAGCAGCAAAAATGAAATTACAAAATAAAAGAAAATTAAGACTGTGCTGAAATAGGTCCATGTGGCAATGCTCCCAGTCTATTAAGTGCTTCCAAATTCTCTGCAAATGATTATGAATTTAATTAGGCTAATAAATCTAATTAAATGCAATTCGGAATTAATAGCCCAATAAAGCTCAAAACAATAAAATATGGCAAGAAAGAACAACTAGGCACTAACAATATTTAATAGGAGCTTACAAAGGTAAGAAAATGCATGAAAATTATGACTCATCAATGCACTCATGTCTTGTCTCCACCCTTGATTGTAAGAATTAGAGTAAGGGTTATTAGATAAATTTTGGCATCCTTGATTCCCCATATAATTGACTTCTTCACCTTGGGGGCCACTAGGAGCTTGAAAATAACCATTGGAATGGTCACCTCCACAAAAATCACATCACATCACTTGTTGAGTTTGATAAGGGCTGGCTTGCATGGCTTGGAGTTGTTGAGGCAATTTAGCCATTTGTTGGTTAAGAGCTTCTATTTGTTGGGTGAGAAACTTATGATGAGCCAAGAGAGGATCTTGAGAACTTAATTCTAATGTTCCCCTCTTTTGTGCCTGACTCTTTCCATGTTGGCTTCACAAGTCAGTAGATGACATAGACTTAATAATTGTGATAGCCTCATCAGCAATGTTAAACAAAACAAAACTACCAAAAGAAACATCCAAAATCATCTTTGTTTGTGGTTGCACCCATTGCAAAAAGTATGAAATTGCATTTCTATATCAAAACCATGATTGGGACACTTCCTAAGCAAAGCTTTATATCTCTCTCATGCCTCACATAAGGGTTTATCAACTCCTTGCACAAATGTAGCAATAGCAGCTTTGGCCTCTATGTTCTTGGATGGTGGGAAAAAATGAGCTAGAAATTTAGTCTCCACATCCCTCCAACTGGTTAGGCTTTGGTTAGGCTAAGATTGAAGCCATGCCTTGGCCTTCCCAGTGAGAGAAAATGGAAATAGCCTCATGAACAATGCTTCCTTGTCATCCCCAGAAATTCCAACTGAGCTACATAACTCATAGAAAGTGTACAAATGAGTATGTGGGTCTTCATGATCCAAACTGGCGAACTGATGAGAGCTTATAAGTTGCAAGAGAGCAGGCTTTATTTCAGCAATCTTCTCACACATAGTGGGTCTTACAATGCTAGAAAAATTTCTAGGACTTGTATATAAAATAGAATCCCCTATGGTCCTCCTTTGAGGTTGATTAAATGGATGATTAAGCTCTTCTTCAGCCATCTCTCCTTCTGCAGCTAGATCAAAGTGTTGAGTAGTAATAGTCCTAGAGGATGAAGTTTGGTGGGTAGCTTGTTGGGTTAGTACCCTCTGCCTTCTTGTGTTTCTATTGTTTCTCCTAGTTGTTCTTTCAATCTTCGGGTCACTAAGCAAAGGCTCAGAAGAAATGGTCCCTCTTGTTCGAATGGTACCTTGCGCACACAAGAACACAAAAGATATTAGAGCAACAAGTCAGCCCAAAAGAATATTGGTTTAAAGGAAAGACAATTAAAGAATAAAGAATGAAGTTTAATGTAGCTATAATTGCATAATTGCCTTGTATTGAGACACAAGTCCTCGACAATGACACCAATAACTTGTTAAGCAATTTCTTAAATAAGGCAAGAAAACCAATCGCATAAGTAGTAAGTAGAAGTATTTGTCGTTCTTCCCAAAGGACTTGTGCAATACAATGGCAATAGATACAAATTTAACTAACAAAGGCTAAAGAATGATTCCATATTTTAAGGATTGTATTTTTAAGCTAGTAAAGGCAAAGTGAACTAAAGTGAACTTTCATCAAACACTTGGAGTGCAATTTTAGAAACCAACTTATATAAGTGATATGTTAGGGTTAGACTTTACCAACTTTAATCTCATGCATAAAACACTTTCTTTCTCATTCAATTATTAATGTCGACCCACTAATTTACTCAAATCCCAATTTCCTTGGTTATAAGAGCCTAAGTTTCATTACCAAGCATCAATCCCTTGAATACTTCAATCAATCCACTTGCATTAAGTCTAAAGGCTTCAGACAACAAGTAAATCATGTTCTATTCGTAGATACAAGTTTTACTAGGTATCAAGACAAGATTACAAATGATATTTCCCAATATCAAAATAATCACAAATCATGTAATGGTTGATCACTCCATACAAGCATTAAGCATAGAAACATGATACTAACATTTGAATGAAAAAGACATATATATATATATATATATAGAAACAAGTTACATGAGAGTCAAGTTAGCTACATCTAACCCCAACAAAAGGGTTTTAGCAACTCATTTTCATGAGAAGATTAGCAAAATACATCATATAAGTGAAGATGGAAGAAAACCAATTAGAAACAATGATGGAAAGGAAAACCCCAGGCTGGTCACAGTCTTCTGCTAGAACACAGAGCTGTGCAGCATGCTTCTCAATCACTTTTGCTGCTTCATGAAGGCCTCGTGCAAGACCACCATAAGCCAGAGATTTTCTGAGGACAAGTTGTAAGGCAGTCATGATATCCATTGGCTCGCCTGGAATCGCGGCAGCTGACTCGGCTGCAACAACGGCAGGTTCTTCCCTGAAGAGCAAAATATCGTGAACAGAACAACCCATTTAAGAATCGTCACTTAGATAATGATAAACAATTATCAAGAGAAACACACAGTAGGACACAGACACACTATCAGAATAATAATGGCTAACAGCCCACAAAAAAATATATAATATAATACATAAAAATATCATGAACATAGCATCCCATATAAGAATTAATACTCGGATAGTGATGAGATATTCTCAAGAAAAACACAGGCTAGGTCACACTATCAGTCTATCACCATTATAAGAATTGATGACAACTTTTACTAACAGTAATAGCCCGAAAAAGAATCATTTTCATTCGTTCCCAAATATGTAATACAAAACAGCTTGGCTGTAGGGTTTTGAAACCCAATTTTCTAACCAATAAAGTTAAATAGAATTGAATTCAGAACCAACCTATTTCATAATCTAAAAGGAACAACAATATCTACTTCCAAAGGACCCTATTAACATTATAATTCATAAATTGGACAAAACATACTCTAACAAAAATACATCCATAGAGGTCATAGATCAGAATTAATCACATGAAACAATTAAACACAAAAGCAAAATGATCATACCCCGACATTTTCCTTGTTGATCTAGAAAAACAACTCTCCTTCCTGCTCCTGCACAAACAAAACAACAAAAACAATCAGATCTTGTGCTATGTAGCAGCATTCAGACAATAATGCAAAGGCTTTATATTCTTTTTTGTTTCTCAAGTTAGAGCAAAAGCTGCCACTTCGCAGCTGCAACATTACCATACGCTAAAATTAATATGGGAAACCACCAAATTTAAAAAGCTTCAACAACCAATGCCTTCCCAACAAGACAAACTGAAATCTTTTACCATAAACCCCAAAAGTGAAAAAATAACAAAGGATTTACTACGATTAAACAAATTAATCGAAGTTTGTTCATTATTCGGTAATGCCTAAAACCAGTGTAGTAACAGAGAGATAGAAAGGAACCTGAAGACGATTGTGTCGAAACCAGTTGCTGAGGACGGGGCTTGGAAGTAAACGATCTTGTATTTTAAACAGAGAGAAGAACCCTAGCTACAACCTCACTCTTAATTTACTAAAATGTCCATTTTAAACTGTAAATTTGGGTTCTATTGGGCCCGGGTCGACTTATATTCAATCTGCTTAACCTGGGCCTCATGCTTCAATATGCGCCTTCGGGATCATATATATATACTTCCTTTTTTTAATAAGTACACACCTTTTTTAAAAATAATAATAATTAAATTCTTAAAATATTTTTATTTTTTATTTTTTTAAATTTTTTAGTTTACACTCCTAACATTTAATTTAACATTTTTTTTACATACTTCTTTCTCTTATTTTCAAATGCACCTCTTTAATTTTTCTTCACCCTCACCTATTTTAATAGGTAATTTTAATTTTTTTAGTTTTATATTATTTTTTTCTCTTCCTCTTTCATTTTTTTTCACTGATTTCACTATCCACATAGTACTTTAGAATAGTGAAAATGTTTTTTTTTATAACACTAAACTTCATGTTAAGGTTTATGGAGGGGTGAAAAAAAAGGAAGTGTTGGAAGAAAAAATGTATGTCTAATTTGATAGAAACTGTCAAGGAAGCTACATGCACCTATAATGTTGTCGCATGCTAGTTCTATGATTTGGGTGCATGTGAAAAAGTGAAAGAGGTGAGAAAATAAGAAAATAATATAAAAATCGAGAAAACTAAAACTATCAACTAAAATAGGTGAGGAATTAGAAAAAGACAAGATGGTGCATGTAAAAACTGAAAAAGAGAATGAAGGAGGTGTGTGAAAAGAAAAAATAGTAAATTGAAAGTTAGAGATGTAAAATTAAAAAATTTTAAAATAAAAAAATTATGATTATTTAAAAAAAAAATTAAAAATAAAGAAGATGTATTTATAAAAATAAAAAATAAAAA